CCTCTCTCCTGCTCAAATGGCCCTCTCCTCTCTCCTGCTCAAATGGCCCTCTCCTCTCTCCTGCTCAAATGGTCCTCTCCTCTCTCCTGCTCTGAGTGTGGGCTACAGACTCAGGTACCCCAGCTCTCCCCTCTCTCCTGCTCTGGGCCTGGGCTATAGACCCAGGTACCCCAGGTCTCTCCTCTCTCCTGCTCCAGATATTGGCTATAGACCCGGGTACCCCAAGCCTCCCCTCTCTCCTCCAGTGTAGGCTATAGACCTAGGTACCCCAGGCGCAGCCCCCCTGGTCACTCCAGTCATTTACCTGAGCCCCTCCGGTGGGGACACACGCCAGCTTCGGATGTGGTTTTCTCTGAGATCATGCATCTGGAGGCATGGACTCAGAAATGAGGGTCCCCAAGGAGGCGTGTCTTTAGCTGGGCACCCCGATGGCTGCCTCTCGGGGATGTCTCTGGAGCTGGGTGCAGGTGTCATCATTGAAGCCTGTGTAGGGGCTCTGGACCCTGGACACCCTCTTTTGACCATCCTCTTCCTCACAGAGGTAGATGACTCTGAAGGGGCCCCATGCAGGCTCACCTGGACCACACCCCAGTCCCCCACTACCCTGGTTATGGATGATCAGGAATGACCTGGTCAGGGCCTGCTGGCTGGGGCCTCGTGCTCATACCTGCAGAGGTGCGGCAGTGCAGCCATGGCGCTCGTGGTGTGGACAGGGGGAGGGTAGAGCGCTTTCTCTGGGACAACCGTGGGCGTGGGAGCTGATGCATGTCCCGGCCTGGGACTGGAGCTTCCATCCGGGGCTGACCAAGAGCCTTATGTGGATCTGGCATGGGTTCTCAGGTACCTGGCCATGGGGGCAGAGTCTTTGTCTCAAACACCCTTGCCTAAGCCAGCCCCAGTGGGTGGGGGTTCAGGGAGGCCTGCCAGGGATATGGGGCAGAGGACAGGTTGAGGTTGGGCCCAGGGCGCCGAAACAAACAGGACTGGGGCCCCAGCGCCTGACCCCAACCAGAGGATACACAGGGTGGGCAGCTCCGCTGGGCCTCCCTTGTGGTCCTGCCCGTCGTCCCCTTTGCCCTCTTGGCCGTCAGCACCAGCTCTGAGCTGCTGCACAAGGGACAAGGTGAACAGAGTGGAGCTACACCTTGGGTCCTGGGCTCCCATGTGGGCTCAGCCCACCCTCAACTCCACAGGTGGAGTTGGCCTTGCCAGGTGGGTGGGCAGCCTTGGCGCATGGAAGGGTCGCAGCACTGGCCATGTCCTGATCCCAGGGCACAGAGCAGCTTGGGGGAGGGCACCCCACCAGAGGGAGTGCAGAGAAGTGGGAGGAACCCCTCACAGGTCCAAATCACAGCCCCAGCATTTCCAGGGGGCTTTAGACAACTCGCCTTGCCTCGGTTTCTCCATCTGTGAAATGGGAAAAGAGGCTGCTTGGAGGGCTACGCTCAGTGTGCCAGGTACACAGCCCCACCGCCGTGGCTACACTCAGTGCAGGGCTCACCCCAGTCTCAGGAGATGAATCAGGCAGGACATGCAAAGCAGCAGGGGCAGAAAGACAGGGGCACGGAGGGCGGGGGACACCCGGGGAGCCTGTGGGAGCCCATGAGCCCCAGGAGCAAACCCAAGGCGGCCCTGTGCTGCAGCCTTCAGGGTCCCCAGCAGGGCCCAGCCTAAAGGGCTGGGGGGCAGGAGGGAGGCTTGCCTGGATATGTGGGGGAGGGAGGCTGGCCTGGCTGCTGGGGCGGTGGGGGGGGGTGGTCAGGAAGGGAGGCCGACCTAGCTGTGGTGAGGGTGGGGAGGAGGGAGGCTGGCCAGGCTGTGGGTGGGGAGGAGGGAAGCTGGCCCGGCTTCGGGGCAGTGGGGCAGGTGGCGAAAGGAGGGAGGCTGGCCCAGCTGTGGGCGGGGAGGCCTCACAGGGAGCAGACGGCGCCCCTCCTTCCAGGGCCTTTCCTGTTTGCCAGGCTGTGTCTGAGGGGGGTGTGATTGCGGGTCCTGGGGGGACCATGCCACTTGCGGAGGGGCCAGGAAGACCCCCGAGGGTGGGAGATGTGTCACAAGAAGTGAGTTCTGTCTCCATGGACGGTGCAGGACCTGGTGAACCCCAGAGACCGCCTGCCTTACTAACACAGTGAGAGAAAAGCCTGGGGAGTCCTGAGGAGGCATTTGAGCCCATCCCCAAGACCAGACTCCCCCCACTTCCCCGTGAAGAATTGCCCCATGCAGCGCGGCCCCCCCAGAAGAAACAAGGTCTCCTCCTGCCCCTCATCCCCACAGGTCAGAGGTGCAGCTGGGCAGCTGGTGGCCAGACCCAGGTCAGGGCAGAGGTTAACGTGCTGGGCTGGGCAGAGGCCTGGGGCGGCAGGGGTGTGGTCACAGGGACAGGGGTGTCTGGACTATACTAGGGCTGGGGTCAGGGCTCCCCCAACTATTCCATGGAGTTGGTGGGTGGGGCAGGGGTTGCAGAAGTGGGAAGAAGGAAGCCTCCAAGATGCCCAGACGGAGGAGAGCAGAAGGCTCCCAGACCTCTCCGTGAGGAGGCATTGGTGAGATTTAAAGCAAAGAAAAATCAAGAAACCCACAGGCAGGGATAACTTAAAACTTAAAAACCTTACCTCACCAGGGATTTAAAGGCAAAGAGCAACCCAGACCCTCCAGTGGCAGACGTGCAGGTGCAGACGCGCAGGTACAGACGTGCAGGTGCAGTGGGGATGGGGGCAGGGAAAGAGCAGTCCAGAGCCGGGACGTGGCGTGGCCTGGGGTGGTACGGGGTCTGAGACTGTGGGGGACCTGATTGGCCCATGTGAGGAGACCTCTGCCTATTGCTGCCTCAGTTTTTAAATCTGTCAAATGGGGACAGTGAACTCACACAAGGCCTGAGGGTAGCGGGGTGGAGAGCACTGGGGTGGGGCCATGGCAAGAAACCAGAAGAGGCAACACTGGGCATTAAGGGCCCCTGTACATGAGCCTGTCCCCCACGGCAGATGAGTCCCTGCTGCAGGGATGCAGGGATGGAGGCTCATGTTTTTCTCATGATTCTGTGTGGTCTTTTCTCAATTTTCTGTGAAAGGAGAGGCACTATTTTCATATTAAAAGCCCATATATTAAAGCCAACAT